CACAGAGTGCAATCTTTGCGGTACGGCGGGGGGCCCGGTCGATATGATCGCGCTGCCACGGCTGGTTGTAGTGCTCGTTGCACCGACGGTATCCCCGCACTTCCGGATTTGCTCTTAAGGTGATCCTAAAGTGGTTTGTTTTACCTATTTTTTCAAATACACTTAACTTTTATATACTTAACAGATTATACACTTAACAGATACGTATCTGTTTTACCTTCTACTTTTCGTAAAATTCGTTTTTTTTGGCTGCATGGCTTGAAAAATTCTTTTAAATCGACCATCCGTAGTGTATTAGCATATATACTTTACTTATAGAAAAGAACTTTTCATTCTACACAGCCAAAAAAAAGTTAAGTGTATTTGAAAAAAATAGGTAAAACAGACCACTTTAGGATCACCTTAAGGATATATTTGTGCAACACACGTCAGCTGATTATTGTTCAAATTTGAAAACTACTTTTACTTTCTTTTTTATATTAAAATATTAGATTTGTTGGATCAAACAGAGCATCTTTCTATCGCAAATTAATATCTCAGTTTTCAAAATATTTTTATAAAAGAAAATCTATATAATCTTCTCTTTCTTAACGCGTATTGTTAATTCAAATGTACCTTTTCCATGTGCGTGGACTATGTAAATTTGTTTTCCATTTTCTATTCGACAGGAGCAGATCTGCCATAGGTGCAGTAGGCTTCAACAAGTCTAGTCCGAACGAAATACACTTCGGCAGCGTGCCGAACTCACCGCGCGCAACGAAAGGCAACGAATCGTTGATTGATTGGCACACGCTGGGCGGTCCGGGCCGGCGGCACGACGTGCTGATGGAGCTGCAATTAAGCAAAGTACGCTTCCAGCACGAGGTCTATCCGGAGAACACCCGGGAAGCGTCCAGGCAGGTGCTGCTGGTGCACGAGATCGAAGTAAGGGACAGACTGGCGTCGTCGCACATCAATAAATTCCTTTATCAATACAGCAGCGAGGCGAGACCCAGGCAGTCTCACTCCATTATGTTTACGATGAAGGCAGTTCACGTAAGGCCGGATCCCAGATTAAGTGCCCAAGAATGTTGTTTGAAAATTAGTCTACTGCCACTGCGACTGAACATAGACCAAGATAGCCTACTGTTCTTAATACAATTTTTTAACGAACTAGGCGGTGGATCGAAGCGAAGCCAAGAAACCTCTAGCACACCCAATAGCTCGCAATCCACCCCCGTATCGAAACAAGGAACACCCACGCATCATCCGCCGATTATGAGCGTGAATGGTAACGCGTTGACGAATGACGATTACGCGATGATGAATATGTCGCAGAATAATATCATTGATCAGAATCTACTGATACTTCTGGAAGACGAGCTGACGTTCCGCGAGAGCAAGATCAAAACCAAGACTGTCCATCAGGTCCGCGACGACAGTCAACCGATATACTTTAGGTGTGTAAATTGTTATCTTTTTTTTTTTTACAAGCAATCGCAATCGGAATTATTCGGCAATATAAAAGTGCCTAAATTTTTGTTTCTCATTCAGAAGCGTGGTCTTCGGTCCGGAGGTCCTCATCAGGTTGGATTATCACGGGAAGCGCGTGGACTTCACTCACGGACCGTTGGCGGGACTGCTGATGGGCTTGGCGGAGCTGAATTGTTCCGAATTAAGACTGAAGAGACTGTCGCACAGGCACGGACTCTTGGGATACGACAAGCTTCTCACTTATCTGGCTTCGGAGTGGCTGCAGGACATCAAGAAGAATCAACTGCCGAGCTTACTCGGCGGCGTGGGCCCGATGTACTCTGTGGTACAGTTGTGTGAGTACACGGCTTAATCTCGAATTTTTTATTCCAAAATTAAATTGATTATTTTTGAAAATGCACGAAAGAAAATGACTTGTACATTTTGCACTCTGATTCCTGAAACGTTTTCTATTGCAACCGAATTTCTATCTCAATTTCTGTCGCAAATTATAGATTTTCTAAAGCGAGCTTTAAACAAATAATTTACTTTAAATAATGTAATATTTGATCATTGCAGTTCAAGGCATACGCGATCTGTTCTGGTTACCAATCGAACAATATCAGAGGGATGGAAGAATTGTACGCGGTTTGCAACGTGGAGCGAACAGTTTTACAACGTGCACCGCGATGGCGGCGTTAGAGTTGACGTGCAGAATCGTGCAAGCGTTGCAGACCACAGCCGAAACGGCGTACGACATCGTTAGTCCTGGTCCCAGCGTGAAATGCAAGAATAAAGGGCAAAAGGGTCGTCGAAAGAAGTACAATCAGCCGCTGGACATTCGAGAGGGGGTGTCGAATGCTTACACGCTGGTTAAAGAGGTGAAGTATAGAAGATGAAGATCATTTACATTTACTTAACAACTGTTAAGTAACATTTACTATCCTTGCTTTATATCTATACAATTATTAACAACTACATGAAGAATTATATATCTATTACTTTATTTCGTTTTATAATTCTAACTATCGTAGACACATAAAACTTGACAGTTTTCTATAATTATCGTGAGTATGAAGCAGAATAATTTCATATGAAGAAGTATTAATGCAAAATTTATATTATTTAGGGCTTGGGCGAGACCGCGACTCAGTTGGTCCGTGTGGCGAGCGAGGAGCACGAGCACAAGGGCCCGGTAGGCGCGGTCGGCGGTGTGCTGCGACAGATACCGCCGACGGTCGTGAAACCGATTATCCTAGCCACAGAAGCGACTAGCAACGTGTTAGGCGGCATGCGATCGTCATTGGTGCCCGATGCGCGCCGAGAGGCGGTTCAAAAGTGGCGGCAGGACTCCGATGCAAGCTAATTCCGTCGGTGAAGGAAGAAGAAGGGAGATCGCTGAATCGGAGATCGTCAGTCAATTTCGCTCAAATAACGCTTCTCTATCACGGCTCTATTAGGCCGAGTCATTTTTTTATTGTAATATATATAATTACGACACATACGCGTACGCGAAAGAGAATACTAAATAGGTGTAAGAATAGCCAATGCGTTTGGCAGTATATTGTGATTATAGCAATTACTCATTAGATCTGTGCGATTTATTCTCGCTCGATCTGTGCGATTAGGCCTCGATGGATCGACGACAAACGCTAAGGAGACGATAGACCTAAGACGTGGATCACCGACGACGGACGAGGGAGATGTGAGAAGTCGCCGTTGGGTCCTAACTACGAGTGCTATATAACATTAACGTAGTCATATACTCGGTTTCGTTGAGAGAATTTCCTGTACATTATGAATGTACAAAGTACGACTTGTTATACTTGTAAAATGTAAAGATTACCTAGTTGTATGCTCTATGATGAAGGAACATAATAGCACCGATATGTTCCTTCTCTATATATGTACGTGTGTATGCATGTCATATGTATGTATGTATATGCATGTACGTATATATATTATGTATATTCTTGTTTTGATCATGTAAATGTTTTATACCAATAACATGTATTGGAAGATTTTTATTAATAAAATTATATACGACAAATAGATATTTTTCGTCATGTTTATTCATGTTTATATTTTACTCTTTACACAATTTTCTGCATAAATCTAACAGTTGTTTATATCAGTTGTGTATATTTTATATATATATATATATAGTAATTGAAATATATTTAATATATTGTGATAATTATTTTTAACTTCTTTTTAATATAGAATATACATTCACTCAGCTTTGCAATATTGCATACCTACAATAAAAAGGTAGTTGACTTATTAATACTTTAATGACATTTTCATGCTTCTAATTTGTTTTTTTATTGTATCTTACCAGGTGTTACGGACTGTATCCATTCGATATAATATCCTGCACGTGTACAGACAGCAGGTACTCCTGAGGCACAGCCAACGCCGCTCGATGTAATACCAACTAATACAAGCCTATATGTAACAGGATCTTGCCATAAAATAGGTCCGCCGCTATCCATCTGCAGTGAAAAAAAAGAAAATGCCATAACTTTGGAATACTTCATGTACATCACAATTCTATCGCATTCAACTATCAGGTAATAAGAAATATTATACATTTAATGATAGAGTAGTAAAAAATTTGATTTATTGACCTGACAGGTATCTTTTCTTTCATTAGTATAAGTGCACATTTCCGAAGAATCTTTATTATGAGATTCATATTTATCATTGCATGTATTAAGATTCATTACAGTTAAATTCACTTTTTGCAGCTTAGTCGCTTTGGCTCCGGCAAACTCCGTTAAACCCCAGCCTGACGGGATGAAATCAGAAAGTGAAATTAGATCGGATAAATGTAACAATAATCGGAATATACCAACCCAATGCAGTCACATTTTCGTTATCGAACGAATCCTGTTTATGTTGAAATGGTAAGCAGACTGGACCAACTGCGGCATTAAATTCTATGGTGTCATTAGTCTCACAAACAGCTATATCATGCGAAGTGTTACTGTCGTACTGGGGATGTATAGTACACTTTTTTATGCGATGCAACCTGGTTGCATTAGTTTCTTCGCCTGTACAAATCAATACAAAATTTCTATATATCTTAGTATTATATTGCAATTATAAACAATAATTTACATTTCTTATCTTAAATATTAATTACATATATATATTTTAATAATTACCTATTGTTACATCATGTTCACCGACAAGAATACCAACTTTATTCATGTCTCTATTTTCTACGCAATGAGCTGCTGTTACTACATGACTTTTACTTATTATAGTAGCACCGCAATATATTACTCTGTTTTCACTATCGACGAGCCCAGCCATCATGGGATATTCATTTACTCCTGTTTCTTCACCGCCTACTATCTTAGTCTACGCGAGCAATAAAAGTAACGAAGAACACTTTATATTCTTGGTATTTAATAAAATTAGATTTTCTGATCAATTGTTGTGTAAATAATGTAAATGAATTATATAAATTAACGTCAATTTATGAAAAAATAATTTGTTTATTAATGAATAGTGTATCATCTCACTGTATATTTAAACTCACTGTTTTTTTCCAGCCGCATTGGCAATCGGACGGATTTTCCGTTTTAAGTTCGCATAAAAATCTACCTCCTTGCGCGTCCCATTCTGTGTCTAATTTTATAATCGCATTTTTTCCTTCGATAGTAAATGAGCCGTAACCGCAATATTTATTCACATTGCTTCCATCAAATTGTATAGATATACACTCTTTAGCACAATCTTTACTCTATAAAATAATATAATTAATTTTTTATTCTTTCTGTTCTGTTTTCAATAATTCTAGTAATTATTAACGTAAATATGTATTAGGCTCATAAGTGTGTCCAGAAATGCTTAGAATATGCTTAGAAATATCCAGTTAGTGAGAAATTTTTGTATAAACTATATATTCAAAATATCTGTATAACAATCTTACCTGTGGGATACTAATATCAGTGCAATTTATTTTGATAGTATAAGGACTCTTTGCTTCCCATATACAATGGTTTTCACCTTTATAGTTATATCCATATTCGGAATTATTCACATAATATGTTGGCCCAACTTCCATTTCTTGATAATAATGGCAATCAGATTTAATTCCATTTAGCATTGAAAGGGACAGCAATAATCCAAAGGAAACTGCCTTGACTAGAGTTATTATAATTTTTGATTACATTATCTGGTAAAATTTCGGATTGTCTGATAAAAAAAGTGTTAAACATAGCACTTGCTATTGATAATATTGTTCATTAACATTACAATAGTATGCGTTAACAAAGATCTTTGTTGATATTAGTCAATGATTTCGTAATGCATAATATTTTTTAATTTAACCGTGCAATTTATAAAAAAATTAATTAATTCATTACTCATAGACTATGCATTATGCATTTTCCTGTATATTTTCCTCTATTAATAACAGTTTTAAATACCTGCTTGGTACATCTGCTAAAAATATATTCTGGATTTAATATCTGAAGAAGTTGACTTACTCTTCTGACAAATAATACATTATGTGGTGGAAGCGTCCGCTTTTAAACGTATGGTTACAAAGATAAAGAATAAATCCTAAACTAATATATAGTCCAAGTATCTTATCTCACGGTTATAAACGATAATTTATTGCAGCAAGGACGTATATCTTCAAAACAGTATAAATGTACACCATGTATCATTAGCTGATGACTTGTGTACATTCAAGACGTTTGAAGTATGTATATTTTACGAGACAATGTAAATGAAGGGACCACTTGATTTTCATCGAAAAAAAGGCAATTTTCAAAATGTGTATACCTATAACAAAAAATCGTATCAACTTTCTAAGAAAAGCTCCACATTTTTTTCCAGTTCCATAAAGTGTTCACACTTTACGACCATGTTTTCTTCAACATTCATCAACTTGGCAATGAAAAATCGTACAGCAATCGCTGATCAAATGAAAGAGAAAACTTTAAGTTTTTTAATGCATATAATAAAATCTTTCTTAGATTTTTTGTATATTGTACACAGTCGCAAAGTCAAATAAAGATTTTCATTTTGTCGAGTTTCTTATTTTTTGTAAGTTAAAATAAAAATGATAATTAAATTCTGTAAAATGCATTTGAAAGTGGAATTTGA